GTCAGGGCAGGTTCAGGTTGGATCTCAGCCAAAGGTTCTTCCCCCAGAGGCTGGTTGGGCACTGCCCAGGCTCCCCAGGGCAGTGGGCACAGCCCCAAGGCTGCCAGAGCTCCAGGAGGGTTTGGCTGATCCTCTGGGGCACAGGGGGTGACTCTTGGGGATGGGCCTGTGCATGGCCAGGGGTTGGACTCAAAGATCCTTGTGGGTCCCTTCCAACTCAGCATATTCTGTGATTCTGAGACTACAGGTTGGGACACTTGTCTGCCTACACAGTAAGGCCTTGCATAGTTTTGTCCAATTTGCTTTAGTATTCCCAAACTGTCAGGATCCAAGAGCTTAGTTCTGCCTCTCCATATGAACCACTCACTGTTGGGGAAGGGTACATCCCAGCTGCTTCTCCTAGAGCAGCTTGAATCCTGCCAACCATCCACTGCCTGCTCAGTGGGTAAGCTCCTCCAGAGAGGCTCAAATGGAAGTCCTTCATCTTTTAGGAGCAGGCAAAAAATTTGTCATCTGTAGTTCCATCCATACCCAGAGAATTTGAATCCTGGCTCAGAGCAGCTAATCCCAAAAGGATGTGCCTTTTGGAACTTATTTCCTTTTCACCTTGAAATGCTGGAACATTGTTTTACATGGTTTGCTGAGGACTTCTTGAGAAAGTGTCAGTCTTTTGCCATGTCTCCTGAGCTCCTACACTCCAGGGGATGGTGCAGCAGTGACCTGGATCATTCAGTTATTTGAGACAGATCTGATAAGCAAAGTGGGGGAGGGCTGAGACAGATCCAAACATCCTGGTGAAATTCCTTTTTTCCCTTTCTGTGCTTCTCTGCTGTCCTACTTTCCAAACACTAAGACTCTAATTAATACTGGAATATTTAATTAACATGACAAGATAAAAAACCTTATCCAAGCTTACCAGCTCACCTGTGTACCTCTGAGGTACATGACTTGGAACATCACATAGGCAGTAAGGGACTGAGGAGAGGGGAAGGCTGCTTTCACCTCCAAAGCAAACACCACTTATGCTGAAGGGGGGAAAAGGAGATTCCACCCTAGCAAGAGTGACCTCAGTGAAACCTCTCCCAGACAGAGCATGCAAGGAGTTGGCTACAGGATGACAGGATTTTTGGACAAGACAAAGAGGGCAGCCAGGCTGACATCTGGGTGCTGATAGAGGTACGTTTTTATATTATCTATGTATTTACATTTACATTCTGGGATGTGCCCAGAGCTGCAGGGAGGTGACAGGCTTGCAGAGTTCTGAACATGCTGTTCATCAGCATCTGGCAAGACACTGTCTTGCCCGCAGACCTTTCCTCACACCAGCTGACAGCCTTGTCATCGATATCTCAGCAAAGCTGGAAGTTTCCAGCCAAGCTGAGGCTCCGCACTTGGCAGGAGTTTCTACTGTGTGAACATGGACAATGCACACTGGCCCCAAATGGCTCAGTGTTCATTCATTCACGGCTAGGCTTCGTGAACGAAGATTTAGGAAGGCTCTATTCACATTTGTTACAAGAACGCTGGTGGCTAATAAGGCCAATGTGAGATAGACATGTCTGATTGCAAAAGGCACAGCAGAAAGACTCCTTAGATGGTGTATTCTGCAAGGCACGGTTCTTTCTGCGTTGCCTTTTCTCCTCGAGAGTGATCCTGCGTCTGTTCTCAAAGGAAGCAGCAGTGTTATAGATGGTGTGTCTCCAGGCCTCCCGGTTGGAGGCCAGAGTAGACCAGTTATGGTGATCAATATGGCCAAGGCTGAGATGTTGTTTCAGGGAGTCCTTGTATCTTCTCTTCGGGGCTCCTCTCATGCAGCAGCCAGTGGCAAGTTCACCATAAAGCAAAATCTTAGGGAGGCAGCGATCTTTCATCCTGGAGACGTGCCCTGCCCATCGCAGCTGTGTTCTCAGTAACATGGCCTCAATGCTTGTGACTGCTGCTTGTTCTAGAACAGATGTACTGGTCACATAATCTGACCAGTGGATGTTTAGGATTGTACGGAGGCAGCGTTGATGGAAGCGTTCTAGGAGTCACAGGTGGTGGCGGTAGATGACCCATGATTCTGATCCATATAAAAGAGTAGGCAGCACAATGGCTTTGTAAACACTGATCTTGGTACTTTTCTTCAAGTGTTTATTTCGCCAAACTCTTTTATGAAGCTTTCTGAAGACACTATATGCCTTTGCTAACCTGTTGTCTATCTCCCCGTCAATCTTACTATCCAAGGAGATGAGGTTGCCTAGGTAATTAAACTGCTGGACTGATTTGAACTCTGATTTACCAATGGTGATATGGGGATGATGGGGGACTTCCTGAGGTGCAGGTTGATAGAGAACTTCTGTCTTCTTTAAACTGACTTCCAGCCCAAAGAGCTCAGCAGCGTCTGCAAAGCACGATGTTAAACGCTGCAGAGCTGCTTCTGTGTGAGTGACGAGGGCGGCGTCATCAGCATAAAGCAGCTCCTGGACAAGGTGGTTTAAGATCTTACTGTGGGCCTTCAGTCGCCTTAGGTTGAAAAGGCTTCCATCAGTACAATATCAAATGTAGATACCGTCCTGATCATCGAGGTCTGCTGTGGTCCTTTGGAGCATCCTGCTGAAAAGGACTGTGAATAGGGTTGGTGTGAGAACTCAGCCTTGTTTCACACCATTGGTTATTAGAAAGGGCTCAGAAAGTACATTGCCATATCTGACTTGGCCGTGCTGATCCACATGGAGTGAGATGATCATTTTAAGGAACTTGGGGGGACAACCTAAGTGTTCCAAAATCTGTCATAGACCTTTCCTGCTCACAGTATTGAAAGCCTTGGTGAGATCAACAAAGGTTCCATAGAGACCTTTGTTCTGTTCCCTACACTTCTCTTGCAGTTGTCTGAGAACAAACACCATGTCTGTGGTGCTCCTGTTGGCTCTGAAACCACACTGGTTTTCAGGTAGAATTCCTTCTGCTATGGCGGGTATTAGTCTGTTCAAGAGTATTCTTGCCAGGATTTTGCCAGCAATGGAGAGCAGAGTAATACCACGGTAATTTGAACAGTCTGATTTAACTCCTTTCTTCTTATACAATGTGATGATGACTGCATCACGAACGTCTGATGGTAGTTCGCCAAGTTCCCAACAGCGCAGTACAAACTCGTGAAATTTAGCATGGAGTGCTTGGCCCCCATGTTTCCAGACTTCAGGTGGAATTCCATCAACCCCAGTTGCCTTGCTGATTTTCACCTGCTGTATGGCCTTAAGGGTTTCTCCTAAAGTGGGGGCAGTATCCAATTCATACTTCACCGGTTGTTGTGTGATGGACTGAATAGCTGAGTCTTGGACTACACGGCTGGTACTGAAAAGAGTCTGGAAGTGTTCAGACCATCAATTCAGAATGGAGGTTTTATCTGCCAGAAGTGTTTGACCATCAGCGCTGAGTAGAGGACTTTGGGCTTGGTATGTAGGCCCGTATGCTGTTTTCAGGGCTTCATAGAATCCTCTGTGATCACCCGTGTCTGCGCATAATTGTGTTTTTTCAGCAAGATTGATCCACCGCTTGTTCTGGATGTCACGGAGTTTCTGTTGGAGCTTGCTGCATGCAAGGTGAAAGGTTGCTTTTCTTACGTGCCACGATGGCAGTGCAAGGTGTGCTTGTGGGCGGTTCTATTCTTCCTCAACAATTCCTGGATCTCTTGATTGTTTTCATCGAACCAGTCCTTGTTCTTCTTGAAGGAGAATCCTAAAAATTCTTCAGAGGATTGCAGGATGCTGTTTTTAATATGGTACCAGAGTGTTTCAGGAGAGGGATCTAAAGAATCTATAGAATGATTTTCAAGCCTAGTTTGAAGATTTGCCCAGAATCTGTCTTTCACTGTGCTGATTGGAGATTGTTAACTTGGAGTCTCCTCCTTGGGATACTGCCCCTTTTTGGTTTGAACTTAAGATTGAAGTTAAGTTTGCAGCGCACCAGCCGATGGTCTGTTTGGCATTCTGCACTGGGCATCACACGGGTATGGTGGACATCGTGGACATCCCTCCAACACACCAAGACATAATTGATGAGGTGCCAATGTTTGGATCTGGGATGCATCCAGGTTGTCTTCAGACTATTTTTCTGCTGAAAGATAGTATTAGTGATGGTGAGCTGTTGCTCCACACAGAATTCTAGCAGAAGGCGACCATTATCGTTGCAGCTTCCAACACCATGCTTGCCTAATATTCCTTTCCAGGCTTCAAAATTCTTTCCTACTCTGGCGTTGAAATCACCAAGGATAATGATCTTATCATCTGCAGGAACCTTCTGGGTAAGGCAGTGCAGGTTCATGTAGAATTTATCTTTTTCAGCAGGGTCAGCTTGGAGAGTTGGGGCATATATACTAAAGAGGACAACGTGTTGCTTGTTGTGTAATGGAAGGCGTAGGGAGATAATTTGGTCAGAATGACCTGTTGGCAGATTTTCAAGTTTAGGAACAATAGAGTTTTTGATCATGAAGCCGACTCCTGAGAGATGCCTTTCGGTTCTGGGCTTACCTGACCAAAAGAGTGTGTAACCGGCACCATGTTCTCTGAGGCTGCCTTCCTCGTGAAGGCGAACTTTGCTGAGAGCAGCAATGTCCATGTTGAGACGTGATAGTTCGTGAGCGATTAGGGCAGATGGATGCTCAGGGCGACCACTGTTCGCAGAATCAAGCATGGTTCTGATGTTCCAGCATGCGAGAGTCAGTTTGGTTACACCTTTGGAGGCAGGTGTATGCCTTTGTCTCTTGGGCTCAGTGTTCAAACAGATCAGAAAAAGCAGAGCATGGGAAAAGGAAGGATTATCATCCTTATTTTAGGGACTGAGATTTAAAGCCAGAGGAGTGACCTGGCACAATTACAGAGGCAGACTCTCTAGAAGTGGGAATTTAATATTCAGCCCGAGTTTTGGGCTTTAGCTACAACACTGACCTTCTCTCTAACAGTTCCCCAGTAAAGCCCCACAAGACTCCACACAGGCTGCTATGCCTGATAACCCCCAAAGACTACCAGCAACCATTATGTCTTTATTTTTCTTCTTCCCTTGAGCACAGGTATTGGGTTTGTGCTGAAGTGGTGGAAAACAGGTAAGAGTTCCATGTCCATCCTCCTATACTGTCGCAGCTTCAACACTGGAGCAATTACAGGAGTAGGGATAATCCAAGCCCACAGGAGAGCTGCAGGAGGAAGGAGAGGCAGCAGTCAGGTTTGGACACTAATCTTCTCCAAAACTCCTGTTCTTGCAAAGGGACCAAACTGCTCAGCAGCGATCAGTGGCTGTTCTCCTAAATGGACTGAACAGACTCGGCTCAGCCTGATGTCTGACCTCCAACCACAGCATGACAGTGGCCAGGCTGCATGGAAAAGACCAGCTTTCCAACTGCTTTTACTGGTTGTTCAAAGCTCAATAGCAATGGGAGCACTCAAAACAGCAGGATGAAAATTCAAAACCATTCAACAAAGAGGAGGAGCTGGAAGCCATTGCACAGCAAGAAAACTATGACATAATTGCCCTCATGGAGGCATGGTGGGATGACTGGCACAGTTGGAGTGCTGCAATGAATGGCTGCAAACTCTTCACAAGGGAAGGCAGGGAAGGAGAGGTGCTGGGGTGGCCCCTTATATGAAGAGCCTGGAGCAGAATGGTGGTCACGACAGGGTTGAGTGTGTGTGAGTAAGGAACAGGGGGAAGGCCAACAAGGCAGATTATCCTGTTGGGAGTCTGTCATAGATCACCCAACCAGGATGAAGAGATAGACAAAACATCCCATAAGCAGCTGGGAGAAGCCCTTGCTCTCATTGGGGGACTTCAACTTACCAGATGTCCACTGGTACAACAATGCAGCAGAGAGGAGACAGTCCAGGAAGTTCCTGCAGTGTGTGGCAGAGAACTTCCCTGGTGAGGGAGCCAACCAGGGAGTGCCCCACCGGACCTGCTGTTTTGTGAGCAGCTTTGTCAGAGAGGGGTTGGAGGGTGTCCAGAGAAGGGAACGGAGTTGGAGAAGGGTCTGGAGCACCAGGAGCAGCTGAAGGAGCTGTAGGGGCTCAGCCTGGAGAAAAGGAGGCTCCGGGGGGACCTTCTTGCTCTCTCCAGCTCCCTGACAGGAGGGTGGAGCCAAGTGGGGGCCGGACTCTGCTCCCAGGGAATAAGTAACAGGATGAGAGGAAACAGCCTCAGCAGGTCAGGTTGGATATCAGGGAAAATTTCTTCACCAAAAGCGTTATCAAGCATTGCAATGGGCTGCCCAGGGCAGTGGTAGAGCCACCATCTCTGGAGGCATTTAAAAGATATGTAGATGTAACACTTGAGGACATGGCAGTGTTAGGTTTACTGATTGGACTCTGTGATATTAGAGGTTTTATTCCGACCTAAACAATTCCACAGTTCTAACTGAGGTGATGGACAGTCAAACAAGGGGTAGATAAACAAGGGAAGTGACTCTGAGGCAGAACCATGGATCCAAAATGTACATGTATTCAAGGGGAAACTGAACACTTTCATAGAAAAGAAATCCAGTAAGAGTCACTAAACACACAGATGGCACATGTTGATCAAAGAGACACTCAGCTGCATATGACTGGAGGCTGAGGTGAAGTATCACACAAGCTTCTGCATGCAAATCCTGTGGGCCACTGCCAGAGACAGAACACTCAACCAGGATTTTGGTCTGACCCAGCACACCTGCCCTTGTTTCCTTACAATTCTGTACGTACAAAAGGCTTCCAGGCAGCTGTGTGTCCACTGGGAGTGTCTGACACAGCCTGGACATGTACAAACATCCGTCAGGGAACAGGGGCTGTGAGTACCATCACAGCAACCACAACATCAACAGGGGTGCAGGGCCTCCCCATGGTCACATCTCACAGCCACCAACACAAATCACACCTGTGTCCAAGTGCTGTGCCCCAGAGCCCAACCCAGCAGCACACACTGCATAGGGGAGCCACAGACCTGGAGTCATCCAGAGAGAAGAAAAGCAGGAAAAGAGAGACTGGAATACATAGAGACACAAAACAACATGTGGGAACTGCATGTCTGTGCTCTGCAGCACCCAGACATCTGGGTCTCCTGGGTAAATACCCTTGAGTAAAAGTGGACAGTCAAGACACCTAATACAAATCAACTTTCTCCTCCTTAGCACAGGTTGGAAACTGCAAAGGAAAAAAAAAAAAAAAAGGTAAAACCCAAACTGTGCTACAAACAAAGCAAGTTTGGGGTTGCCCACCTCTCTGAAGAGCGCGCCATAAAACTGAACAATATACGGGCAGTCACTGCTTCGCATCACTACATCAAGGTCCATCAGTAGCTGCTTCTGTTCTTTTTCATCCACTGTCGAGCGAATTCTCTGAAAGAGGAAGAGTGGCAGAGACTTTATTACTTAATGTGTCCTCAGCTCTGCTGATGGAGACACGTGCCAGGGACCCCAGCCCCAAGCAGAGCAGGCAATTCCCCAGGCATGCTCAAACACACTCCAGAGAATTAAGCTGTGTCCTCAAATAGAGGGTGAATAATGCTGTTTAATCAGACTATAAACCCCTCAGTCCTTGCATGAGCATCAACATTTTCAGATGAAATATCAGAAGGAAATCAGAGCTGAGATTTCAGCAAAACACCACAGCCAGGCTTTCATTTCAAAACGAATTCCCACACAGTTCTTAGCTACGTTGAATGGGCCTTGAAGGCTGGTTTGAAATTTAACCAAAGAACACTATGTTTAAAATTTCTAAGTACAGAAGCCAAAAAGGTTCCTTCCACAGCCTCCACCATGGCTGGCACAGAGAGAAGGGACTGTCATGTAACCCAAGGAACACACTGCTCTGGTAATGCTAATGAGGGGCAGCAGTCCTGGAAGCCGTTCTCATCAAACTAACAATTCTTTACCTAGTACTGGCCTAGGGAACATTAACACTACATAAAAGATACTTAATATGCGTATATATATATGTGTGTGTGTGTATATATACACTATATATATACACTATCTATAAAGAGAAGTCTCATTTGGGCTTGAAAGAACAATGCACATTTGAAAATAGAAAACTGTACATGTTCAAACATGAAGCTGTTTAAATGAAGGATGGAGAAGACCATTCACAGTTTTTCATGTGATTTTAAAGATATATTTAACATCTTGCACTAATTTATGTATTCTCTGAATCACAGGTGAGGAAATCGTGATCCTGAAGCTGTGACTCATGTTGAAAGACCATTAAAAAAAACCACTTGGCAACAAGTTCAAAGCAAGAGAAGTAGCCTGGACCCTCCTCGAGGACAAAAACTACGTGGATATCCAAGAAAGAAAAATTATGCAAGGTCGTGGAAAAAATCTGCAAGACACCAGCACCCATTTCACTGATACTCTGGCCCCATGGGCAACTGTTGGTGGCATCAGGACCACACACAGCCAGCACAAGGCCAGGTGTATGAAGGTACTTTCAAGGTTGACCAATCATATAGAACCATTCATTCATGAAACAGTACATGATTATGTACTTTAGGACTATTTCATGATGGCCCACACAAAATGAGGACAGTATCAACACTAATTTTCCTTACCTTTGGTGTTTCGTGATAATTTGGTATTTTAGCACTCGTTCTTAACATTCTAGTAGTTCTAGTTTGGCCTAGACCAGTAATTGCTATGTTCAGATTGCCCTTTTCCCACCCCATTAATTCCAGAGTTCTTGGGGAAGCTGTCAGGATACCTGCCCAGCACACACAGTCCATCACATCCACACCCCACAGTGCCGTGGGTGGGTGGGACTCTGTGGTCACCAAGAGAGCAAGAACAGGAGCAACGGGCCAGGAATGGAACTGAAAAGCTTCACCTCTAGGTCACTGGTTCAGGTGTAGTTCACACGAGTTCAGACGTCACTGAGGAAAGCCAGAGCAGTCTGACTGTTTCCTTGCCGTGTGCCCTCAGCACACAAAGCTCTGGGACACCCCACACTCGGGAGGCCAAACAGACTGAACATCCCTCTCCAGCTGACAAACCATCAGCACTGTGTGAAATGAAAATGCCACTGCTCTGACCTCCACAGAAGACGATGGATGCCAAAGCTACTGTGGTGAGACCTATGAGGAATAGTTCAGTCTCTCACTGAGATGTGGCCCACACTGCAAAGGTCACCTTTTGGATGAGGAACAACACCAAAAGGAGCTTTTCTCCATATTGTAACTCACACCCCCCATTCTGTGTCCACTCCATATCTATCTCCAAAAAGCCTCTTTCCTGGTCATCTGGGAGTATCTCCAGCCCTGCTCTGCATTCCCCCTGCACCTGCACAATCCTGTCACAGCCACCCCCACAGTGTCCTCCTCAAACACCACAACTTCCCCTGACAGCATCTTCTCCCACCTCTGACATTCCTTCTCTGTTGTTACTTTTCCAGCTCTGGAAACCATGTGAAATATATACTGGATGGTGGAGGAAATTTTAATGGCACTCCAGAACAACACTGAACCCAAATACTCCTCTTCCCAAACACAATCTCCCCAGGGAGGAATGGCAGGCAGAGGATCCAGAGCACAGATAGTGGGTCAGCTATATGGCAGAGCTCCAGGCAGACACGGGAGCCAAAGGACACCTTGAGAAGCCAACATGAACACTCCAACAAACATTGTTTCAGGGAGTGAAGGGAATGACATGTACAAGATTGGGAGGTCTCATACAAGAGTGCTGGAGACTGGCAAACTCAAAGGGGAGGACTCTGAGGAGCAGCACAGTGCTGAGTTGGGGTCAGCCCAGGCTGGAAAAATGGCTTTGTTTAGCTGGAGTGTGCCAGGGAGCCTGCTGCAGCCCAGCACTCCCAGTCCACCATGAGGAACCAGCATTCACCAGCAGAACAGGGAAGGAACAGCCAACGGTGAGTGAAGTCAACAGCAGCCACTGGCCAAACATGAGCCACGAATCAACGTGCTACCAAAATCCAAGGAACAGTGCAAGGCACTGCAGCATCTCCCACAGACAGACTGCCCTGGGAACATGGGAGACAGCAGGGAAGGAAGATACAAGGTGAGGCAGCTCCTCGAAGGCAGTATTTGAGACAGGGATGGGCAGGGTCTGACTCAGGCCTTGCACCGCTCAGCCTGGTCACTCCTGTGGGCACTCACTGACAACTCACTGACAAGTGACTTCAGGGCCAAACAAGGCACGGATGGAAAAGAGGGGTTTGTAGTAGAAGCTTATGGAAAGTCTCTTTTTTAACGATTCCTTGTTGACCTCAAATTTAAACTGGATCAAATCTTCCAGGAGAAAATTCTCCAGTGCTTTTAATACAAACACAGGTTAGGACAAAGCCTTCTGACACCAAGAACAAGAGCACTGAGCAGCATCAGCAGCAAAAGGATAATCTGTGCTGTGGGTTGTGCCACTCTGGAATCTAAAACGAGATCCCAGAAACCAAACCCAAAACAGAAGAGACACCATCCAGCCCAATTCTCACACAGAAAGATTCAGGTGCAATGGAAAGTGACCAGTTAAAAAAAAAAAGAAAAGAAAAAAAGCTATAAACGCCAGACTGAAACCCAACTCGAGCTGTGAGACAACCCAGCACTGTCCTGAGCATGGGGCTCACCTGTGTCCTCAGCAGAAAGCTCAGCACAGCAGTGCCTGGCAGTGCCACTGGAGAAGTAGTGCTCCCAGGGGATGGCAAGGACTGGGGACACTAAACTAGCAGGAAAAAAGGAGTTTGCCAGCCACTGCTAAGGATGAGAATATCTGTCTACCCATCTGAAACACATTTAGTGCACACTGAAGTAGATCACAACTAGTTTCCCATCTCCTGTGACGAGGTTCTCACTCTCTCTACCATTTCCTTTTCAACCCTTACTCATTGACCTCCTCCCTCACCAGCAGGGCTGGGAGCAAT